GTTTATGCCATTTACAGAGTAATGATGGAGCCGACCTATAGGAAGGCATTGCTACATCCCTCATTTAGAGGATCATTTTTAAGCATGCAAGAGTATCTCCTAATCCATATTCTCACTTATGTATTGTGCCTTTTAATCTCTGGTACGAACCACTGTGCATTGTACTTACATGCACATGGCTCACGGCGCATTATTATATTCAGCATATTTAAACACCGGTTTCTGTAAACGTTTGCCTCCCTGGTGCCTTTCATTGGAAATTTGGGGATGCTTACCTTGTTTCACCCCCTACTATTGTCCTACTATTGTAGTTTGCCATTGACATAAAATTAAAATCTCTTAAACAAATAGAAGTTTAAAGAATGATTTACATAGCCACCTTTACAAAAAAGATTTATATGAAAGAGAAGAAAGCTCTACGGCTTCCACAGAAAAGAAAATGCCAGGATCTAAAAGCCAGAGCTAGCACAACACACCTGATGCCCCAACACTGTATTTCTACAGAGGAGAGTGAGCATTAGCTGCTCTCCAGGAAGCTGAAGGAAGCACCATAGCAGGAAAGTCATGGTTATCATGTACTCCTTAAGCTCTGCTTTCTGGCACAGCTGGCAGCTGTGGTTCAGAGAGGGACCATAGAGATGACATGTAAAAACAAGCCGAAACAAGGTACATTTCAAACATGCAGCCTCCAGCTCTCTCTCTCCTTATTGCAGACATAGGTGGCTGTGAGCTGAACTCAGCCCTCCATCTGTTATATTTTCCTTCTTCAGGCTGCCAGCCAGCTCCAGACCATCTTCCCTGCCTTCAGACATGCAAAAATAGGCCATTCTCTGACCTTAATGAGGACAAACTTCACATAATCTCCAGTGAATAATATTGTTAGTATGAAACAGGCTATTATTTGGCACATTTGGGAATGTCACTTTTTTTATTATCAGGTAACCAATAGGCTTTCCATGATTGCCTTTTCCCCCTCAGGGCTGGTTATGAGTTCTTTGCTTCCCAAAGATAAATCCTGAGAATGACTTTTTCCTGCTCTCTGGAGGCTGAAAGCAGGCTATTACAGCCTATTGCTTTACACGTTCTTCAGAGTGAAAGCTGTGCATTAGGGATCAATAAAATAGATCACTCTTGCTTCAGGCCATTACACTTGCCTGCATTTATTCCTGTAAGAAGATGACACTGCATTCCTTAGTGTGGGTGTTTAAGAAACTTTCCCTGGGAGGAGATTACCCCATTACAGGGCCAGCTACAGACCACTCTGCATTTTTTGTTACCAGCTGTTATAAGCAGCAAGGCCTTGGCCAAAGAGGGACTTATCAGTGGTCTAGTTCAGCTTTGCCATGTTTAAGTCCCTGTTTTTGCTGTATGTACCCTGAGCACTGTGCAAACCGAGGAAGCAAAGCCTGTGCCCGTATCGTGGGCAACAAAACAGTTTTCTGTCAAGGAATTTCAATTAATTTAATTTATCACCAATTAACACTAACTTTTAACTTTCGATTCCTGAATTCGGAAGAAAAATCAAACAAATGAACTTAGAGAAAGAAACCTCTGCTCCCCGCTCCTGGTCTCCAGCCCCTGTGCTGCATGTTACATCCAGTCCCTTTGAGCAGAAGGTTGGGGTGAGTGCTTTGTGGTTCCTACTCAGTTGCTGCAGCATGGCCTCCTCCACCAGGCACAGTCCCTTTGCAGTCGTACCTCCTGCTCAGCCTCCTCTCCATCCCTTCCCAAGGGGCTCTTCGCACCAGCCCTACTGCATGAAAGAGTACCTTCTTCCTCCGCACAATGCGGCTCTTGCCCACGCAGCTGAGGCGGGGTGAGGCGTGCCCAGCAGTGCTCTACGGTGTTGTGATGCCTCACACCCCCAAAAGAAATTCAGCCCGGGTATCGAACTGAGCTGCAGCAGGATCGCAGGTATCAGGCACAACCCTGACACTACTACAAGTTTCTTGTCTTGCCATCTCTGAGAGAGGTCTTTCATAATTTAAACAATATGTCTTACCATTGCTGTCAATTTGCCTCCTTTTGTGAACTCTTTGGGACAGGATTTTCCTCTGATTATGTTTGCATCCTGCCTACCTTGAGCTGTACCATCTACTGTAATGAAAATAGCACACCAATTATTAACTACGTGAGCTATTAAGCATTTCTTGGCTGGTGATAACTTTCTTCCATTACTCATATTCCCTGTGTGAGTAGACACATCAAGTGTGGGCGTAAAAAAATTGGGTTTATTTTATTTGTGTAGTATCAACTTTTTTATGTATTGTATGCCATTGAGACTCTTAAGACAATTCCCATTTTAGATTCTAGAAGGGAGACAAAACAAGGTGGCAAACCAAGAATTTAGGTTTTGAAGGATTGTTCCATGTTATTTTTTTCTCCACAATAGTAGTAACTTCAATCTCATGGGCCTATCAAAAGGAACAGGACTTTAGGAAGAATATGAGTGAGCAATGTAGTGAGGCTTCATCATCCATCCCTTCTTCACACACAACACACTTTTCCTATTATTAATATTGTCAGCTTTCTAAAACACGGATCAGTCTGCTGTCTGGATTCTCAGAGCCACGGTATTTTTCCCTTCCGCATTTCATCTTACTCCTTTATACTGTTGAAGTTGTTAAAAAAAAAAAAAAATCAGTCCCTAAGACCTAAGCTGCTGACCTTAAACTCATTTGTGCCTTTTTCTATTCTTGGTGTCTTTACTGGCTTTCTTCATCTTCCATTACTACCTCCATTCTCATCTCATCCCCCTTCCGATTCCCCCTTTCATTCTGTGGGGTCCTAATTGGCTTTGTGTTATTTTCTTTTTTTTTTTTTTTTTTAGCTTCTAGTCTCTCCACTCAGTTTGATTCTTTGCTCTCTTCTTTTCTCTTTTCCCTTTCTTCCTGTTCTTCTAAAATTTGTCCATTACACACTCCCACTTTTTGGATACTTTTCCCTGGTATCTTTCTCCTTCACCACCCCATCTGGGCTCTACTTTCTGCACTACCTCTTAGGCTTAACCCTCTCCTCTGATTTTTTCCCTTTCACACATCCCATGGTCTCCCTCACTTCTTCCACTTCTTCCCCGTACCTATTTTTCCCAAATCCTGACAGACTCATGCCCAACAGTGGTGCGGGGCTCTGTTCCTCCAGCATTGGAGACGTTGCCAGCAGCCCAGCAGAGGAGAAGATGGGGCAGATCTCAAAGCCGCAGTGAGCAAATCCCACTGTGTGGGAGCTGAAATTTGGGCACACGGCCACATATATACTCAGTTTAAAGGAAACCTTGGCCACTGAAATGGGTTGGAGTTGTGCCAGTGGGGGACAGCAGTATCTCATTATCAGTTCCCTGAGCCAGTCCCCCCGACAGCGTAGCTGGAGCATTGTTAGCTTTTTAGGGATTTCACATTAACTAGGGCTGTATCAGGCCATTTTGTTCTTCACCGAATTTGTACATCAATCTCTCTCACTTTTGCAAGGCTTACATGTCATGAAGTGGAGTGAAATCATTAACACATGCTGGTTTTCAGGCCTCTTTGTGGTTTCCTGGCTCAGGATTGCCTTCTGACAAAGGGCCAGGGTCCTGCACTGTTTGTATGTTTTAAAAAAACTCTACCGCATATAATAATAACAGTCCTTTCATAAAAATGGTATCACAGATGTTAACTTTGACTGATTACACAAATAAGGAAACTAAGGCAAAGAAGTTAGAAAACTTGTCAAAGCCTGTCAACTTCTTTGAAATGAAAAATAATTTCAAAGCTTCAGTCTCCAGTGCTGTGGGGTCTGACCCTTTGACTGATCTTCTGTGTAACTTTAGACAACATATATTTAACTTGATTGTGTTCTTCTCTGTGAATCACATCAACAGCACTATCTTATGCCTATTTCACAGCAAATATATCAAACAAATGAAAAAACTTTACTCAAGGCTTAGTCAAACCTCAGAAGTCTTGGATATAGTGTTGTTCTTTCTAACTAGAACATCTGCAGAAGGTGTAAATATTATTAAGACTTCAAAGGCCACTTACTGAACTAAAATTAAAAAATACAGATTTTGGTTCAGTTCAGGCATCCAAAGCTGCATCTATAATAATAATAAACAAAACAGGAGAGCTTTTTTGGTCCTGAAGCCAATTGGCCAAGCAGAACCCACATCCCTACAGCCCAATTCTCTTGCTTCCAGCACAGGGCAGCCACATCCAAACTGGGCAATGTCTGGAGAGGGCAGTTTACACCACAGCCAAACCTGTGGCCAGGCTGTGCTCACAATTTAACTGTATGAACAACTGCAGGACAGAACAGAGCCTTGCCCTCACCAAGCAATTAACCAGCACAGACAGAACATGCAGTCCATACTATGGTCCTCATGCAACTGGGTAAAGCCCAGGTTTGCACTTGATAACATTAGTGGCATCAATACTGTTAGGTGAGTTTTGTGATATTACAATGCATAACTACCAAAAAAATTAGGTTAGTTGTGCAGTCCTTAAACAATGTATTTTTTATCATTAATGATAAACTGGTGGTTTTCATGGGGTTTTTTGTCCTTATTTAACAGGTATTTCCCCATGTTCACAGGTTTTTACACTCCAGTAGAAATACCATAGCCTCCGTAATGAGAAGTACTGTTATTGACTAAAAAGGGCTAGGATTTCACACCATAATGGATGCTGTTGCTTTAAAATGCTAATTCTTCCCAGCTGTTGATTTCCTACCTAAGGTACTTTAATACATTTTTTTTGCTATGAAAAGATGGATAATTTATTATGCCATCTTTTTTCGGCAATAGTTTGGGGACATATTTTGTAAAAATGTTGCTTTTGTCAACAGAAACTATAGAATGCTAAAAATCTAACTAATATTTTTTTTCCTTCTAAAAGGCACTTGAGCATTTAAAAATCAAGGAAAGACAAGCAGAAGACTAGAAAATACAAAATATTTCCCATTAGTATGTCACAAAACGGCAATGAAAACCTCTCCAGATATAAAGTAGGGCCTGATTTTACAGTCTTTGAGTATGTGCACCATTCATGAGTATAAACACAGACAAAGCAACAAGGCAGCATATCAGAGTAACAAGCACTACTGATCAGGAGCAAGTCTGGGAAACTTTGGCATGCATTCTCTGAACCGTGTTCATTTTAACAGACTGAACTTCTTCTTACAAACCTTAAAAACTTCATTTTTAAGGAGGCTACAAACTGGACAAATAAGAGGACAAGAGAAAGGCACCTTCTTTGTCTCTGTTAGAAACAGTCAGTGGTGCAAATGAGCCTGTTAGAAAGAAAGGATTAGTATTTGAATGATGGAGTAGATTTCCACATTACCTTTGAGGCCTGGAACAAGAATTTGAACAGAGCAGGACTCCTCTGCAATATGTTGAGGATATCCAGACCTTAGCAGTGACAGGAAGGCAAGGCTAATTAGAGTCACCAAGAAAACCAGATCTCTCTTCATAATGAGCACTTACAGGTCACTGACTCCTAAACAAAAGAATGAATAAACAGTTATAAGAATTCCAAAGACTTTCAACAGTTTCTGAACATATGCAGCTTCCTACTATGAATACAATATATTTTTGCATGCCATAACCCATGCAGCATAAGAATGACACATGCAGCTCCTCCGAGCAGGTTGTACGTTCCACAGGCATACATGAAACATGCAGCAGTGCATTCAGCAGTTTGCTTTGGTGTTAGACTGGGTAAGATAAAGCTCAGAAGAAATTTAGTTAAGAATGAGATTAAGCAATGCTAATAATAGGCAATTCTGTGTTCACAGTTTCTCATTGGAGGCAGGGATCTGGAAAGGTCAAAGGAGAAAATCTTGTACATGGGCTTGCATTGAAAGATGTTAGTACTAAGTTGCCACTTAGAAAGAGTGCATACTGCTCTAAAGAGGCAATTCAGTAGACGATGAGCCCAACCTAAAGGCCTGAAATTTCACTTCCAATCTACCTGAGCACTGAAATTGTGCCCAGCAAATTGTCTGATACAATAGCCCTCATGTAACTCATTGAGGGTGGAAGGGAGACAATACTTCACTAAATCATGCAATGAAGTCACATCAGAGCCTTCAATAAATCCTGAAAAGATTCACCTCTGAAACTACCCTTGTCTAAGCCTACAAGTGAAATGGCTTGCCTGATACTAGGTTCTGAAGAGATCTCTCAGAAAACAACAGTACAGAAATGGAGTTTGTGTGAAAAGAGCATCAAAAGCCAGCATTTAGGGGGTCTGTAGAATTACTCTTTGACAAAAGTGTTATTTATGTACTGCTGATATGTTTTTCCAGTCCTTCTCTCACCAAGGCTCTGTATTACACAAACAAGCTGAAAGTCGTATCAGGGTTTCAAGAGAAAGCACTTGTATATCATCTTTTATAGCCATGATACAGACGTGTGCATTTTGCACCCAGAGCAAGAAGATTGGGCTATATTACTCTCCACTCCCTGATTTCCTTCAAAAATAAGCCAAGTAAGATTAGGCACAGGTGTGGGGCCAGTACATGGGTCTGTGCCTCTCAACATGCTGGGGATCTAGGAGGGTGGATCTATTATTTTGGTGATGGCCAAAAAACAGCCGGAACAGAGTAAGAAGGAGCTTCAGGGTAAGAATGAGCTGGTGAAGCAGACACCAAAACATAAGGGATGGAACAAGATGGGCAGACTGCCCTCTGTGCAACAAAATTCAGTTTCCCCTGTACTGTTAAAAAGCCTTGCCCTAATTTTAAATTCCACCATCAACTCTGATATGTTTAATAAACATCTTAGCAGTAAGACTAAGTAGATGACTTTGGAGTTGGGGGAATAGATTATCCCTCTGAATTGCTGTCCAGTATGTGCTTCCATTATCCTCTAGGAGATAAAATTAGTAGACTGCAGCAGGGGGGTCAGATGGGGGCAGATTTTGTCTCCCTCCCTCCCTCCATGTGGAGAGGGCATGGCATGAGTTATGGGGGAGATTGCTCTTCCTCACAACATCCTTGCTGCACCATCTATACTGCAGGGCAGGGGTGCTCCACAATACACTCCCCAGTTCTCACTGATCATCCAGATTTGGGGCACAGACTACAATATGCCATGAGCCCCTTTTGACTCAGCTTTCCTTCCAAAGGAGAGCAAGGTGCAGCAGGAGGACCATGCCTGAAAAAGGTGGGGTGTATGTTTGGACCTGGGAAGAGCTGCTGGGTCAAGGGATCACTTGATACAGGATTAGTCTAATGGGCTACGGCGAGGCAGAAAACCCTAGGGAAAATCACTGATGCTGAGTAATCCATGGAGTAAGGGAGGAACAGGGACTATTTTCACAGCCACAACATAGAATCATACATGCCACACTCCTGGAACAGAACAGCCCTGAACTACTTCATACACAAGCTTTGCCAACCAGAAAGAAGACCCAGGACAACATGGACCAAAGAAAGGAAGTTTCCACTAAGCTGTAAGGTAACAACTTTATTTTCAGGGCCTCTGTCTCAATTTCCTATGACCTTTTAGTCCAGCAGTTCACGATACAGACAATCTTACTAGAGATGCATTTTGTACCCTCACAACATTCCTGTCAGACTGCTAAGCACCAATGTAATTCACAATAGTCTCCTCTCATAGCTTAGGTTGCAGGTTCTGGAGGGACAACACTCACTCATACACAGATGCTTACAGTATTTTTCTTTTTTCCCCTTCAGGAGTGTTCAGCTCCCAAAATTTTGCCTATGCTGTCACAACTAAGATGACTGCAGCTCATACATACATGTCAGCTTTAAAATATTTCGCTCAGGTATTGCTAGGAGCACACAAATCCACAGAAGTACAAACTTCAACATGGGCTCCTCAAATATTTAGGCCACGTTAAGTTTTGTCACAATTGCAGCAACATCACTCAAGACTTACAAGAGTGCAGGCAAAACTGAATTTTACCACCCCAACTATGAGGAACCAGAGCTGGAAGCAAAGGCACACCACAAAGGTAGATTGAGAGAACAGCAATAGTTGGGGGGTAAAGTGAAGAGTAAGGGAAATTTGGATGTAAAGCTTTTACTCCATGGAGAAACAGCAACCAGCCCAGTTCCCCAGGGCTCCGACAGACAAAATGGACAGGAAAACATTTGCTGTACTATTGTCCTCTGCTTTCTCAGGCTGCTGCCTCCTTTGCCTATGCACAGAGCCAGCACTAACTGCCAGAAACCAGTCAGGCCACTGGCCATCATATAGCTATTGTCTAAGGTTATACAAACTACTTGATCACAGTCTTGATATAGTTTTGAAGTATTAGAGCTCTGTGATAGCACTCTTCGCCCTCATATCCTCATGTGCATACCAAACAAATTACTTCACATACATTACAAGTCTTATGAGGAGCAGCTGAGGGAACTGGGGTTGTTTAGTCTGCAGAAGGGGAGGCTGAGGGGAGACCTTATGGCTCTCTATAACTACCTGAAAGGAGGTTGTAGGGAGGTGGGTGTTGGTCTCTTCTCCCAGGTAGCTAACGATAGGATGAGAGGAAATGGCCTCAAGTTGCATCAGGGGAGGTTTAGACTGGATATTAGGAAAAAATTCTTCATGGAAAGAGTAGTCAAGCATTGGAACAGGCTGTCCAGAGAGGCAGTGGAGTCATCATTCCTGGAGGTGTTCAAAAAACACATAGACGTGACACTTTGGAACACGGTTTAGTTGGCATGGTGGTGTTGGGTTGATGGTTGGACTGATGATCTTAGAGGTCCTTTCCAACTATAATGATTCCTAGTTTTACTTTCATTAAAAAATAACCCAGCCACCAAGCCCCAAAACATAAAATTAATAATTACTCTACCCTTAATTGGTTTAGTGGTAGACTTGGTAGTGTTAGGTTAATGGTTGGACTGGATGATCTTAAAGGTTTTTTCCAACCTAAACGATTCTATGATTAAGCTTGAATCTGCCCACACCTCCCCAAAAGGAGATTCCTAACCCCAGGGTACAAGACACTGCATCTTGGTGTATTTTGTGGCCTAGAGGAGCTCACAGTATCCACAGTGGATGGTCCTGGCTCTTTTTGCCAAGTCCATGACCCACAACAGCCAGCAAGCAAAAGAGGGAGCAACAAAAACTAGGCAAGAGGAAAGGCTGAGAAGGGTGTTTCTCCAGAACTTCCCTTCAAAGGCTTGTAGGGCCAGATTTGGCAGTTGAATAGCCAGGCTTCACGATGCCAAGATAGCGACCAACATTCCCTATGTGGGAAAGCAGCAAGTTGCCACTGCCTCAGCCAGCCAGGAGGATGTGGCAGAGACTCATGCCTGGAAGCCTCTTCCAGACACCTGAACGTAGGTGTTTAACCCTCAGCAGCAGCCACTTTTGAGGGACAGGGAGTAGGACCATCCTGGATGACAGCCACGCTAATGTTCTGCCAGCTGAGCAAACAGAGGACATGGGTCCTGCCTGCCTGCCTTAGCCTGCAGCTCCTGACGCACAGCCCAGGAGAGCACCTGGCCACCAGTCTGCAGGACACCCTAGGCAGGGTGTCCCGCTTTTTCTTTGTAGGTGGGGCACGTTGGGATCCAGAAGATCAAAGAGGCTTTCAAACCAAGTGGTTCAGATACTCAGCTGAAAGCCTGGAAATCAGGCAGTTTCAGCATGAGCACCCAGCAGCCTGGTGATAAGTATTCTTGACAGATGAGTCAGAGAGGGAAATGAAATGGCCCCAGACGGAAGGAGGAATTGAAATTAGGAAGGTGCTCCAGTCTCTGCATTAATGGATAAAAAGGCAGTGTCACCTGCTCTGGTTGCATTCTATGAATTGTTAGATGCATCCAGATTACAACTAAAAGATCAAAGCCTCTAGGTATGTTAAATATTCATCTGCCTTTGCAAACTCCTGCACAGCTCATCTGAGACAGGCATTGAGCAGCAGAGAAGCATCAGGGCTGCTTGGTAGCTCTGCTCAGCAGCCAGATATGAAGGATTTTCTGGGGAAAGCTAAACCTCCAACGAAGCTTCATCACATTCCCCACTGCCTGCTGCTGCTGCTGCAGTGCTTACAATCCTCAGACACAGGGGATACACCTCACCCTACCTTGTCATAGCTCAACTCGCAGAGAAAATGGACTTGTTCTAGAAAACAGAGCTTCCTAGTGTCTGTTAGGTCACAACACTTGGACCCGCGTAAATACGCGGGAAATTACCTTGGTCTGAGAAGAGCCACTAACAGAGGAAATCTGAAGAGGCTATAGAGTCTACAGCTGCAGTAAAGGGACACATTAGTAGTAGAAATCAAACCAAAAGCACTTTGGATATCACTTTCTCCACCTTTTCCTGCTTTAAAAAGAAACCTCTTCTGCAGCTAAAATTGCCTTATACGATTGAAATTAGTTTGATCTCCAGGTATGTGCTACAGCAGTACCTTTCATTTTAAAATCCTAGAAAATTCCTTGCCTTTCTGATCTACCTTCAAGTCCTTTCAGACCCAGATTCATAAAGGCATTTAGA